ATGAAATACATTTTATTCACAGTATGGAGAGTCTTTGTCTTAAAGTAAATTGTTTAAATATTTCAGAAGCTGAGCATCTATGGAGATTTGGAATACATGAATGAACAAAAACTGAACAGATACCCATCCTCTGCACTTGTTGTGGTTAGATGCAAGACTGAGGAACATGAAGAAGCAGGACCTCTTCCTACAAAAGTCAATCTGGCTCAATCAGCAATTTAAATAAGTCTTCATTGGATCCAATAGACTAATTCTAACAGAGCTAGCAACTCCTGATTGTTTGTGGTGGTTCTTCAGATAAGAAGCTTAGCAGCCAGTCTTTAAATGCAATTAAAGTTAAAGAATCAACAAATGTCATGGGATTTTGTTTTCAACTAGTAGTGAAGATTCAGACATCTTGAATTTACGTTTGTTTCCAGACATAATCACTTCTCACTGGTGTTTGCTATGTGTCTTTTTGCTTACAAAAGCTGTAAGCATGCTTTCCATACTTCTGCCATGACACTTTCAAACTTATTTGTGTGTTCTAGGATGTAATGTGTACATTCAGAGTTAGCTTTGTAAAGGTATAAGAAATTTTAAGTAGGCAGGAAATGCCTTTTTAGTGTTGCACTTTCTGTTGTAGTTAAGAGAAAATATTATAAAATTACCTGCTGAATTTTTGTACTTGTTAATGTCCATGCACAAACAGCCCTGTCTCTAAAAATAGAAATATATTTTTTCTACAGTGTGGCAATATCCAAGATGGAAAGCATTTGTGAGGTACTATAGGCTAGAACTCAGTTTGTGAAAGATGTTAAAGCTTATGGACATATTCCTTCACACACAGAACATAACATGGTCAATTATTTTGTCAACCTTTAGCCTTTAAATCTTAAATTGCTTGTAAAGTTAGCGCCTGTGTTTTCTGAAGAAATTCTACTTTCTGTTCTTGATTAACTATTCTAGTCTTGTAACTTCATTTACAGAAACAAGTTGATTCCTGAGAAATGAGAACAGACAAATAAAATTGACTGTATAGAAAATGTTGACTATATAGCTTTTTGCTATGGTTAATTATTGACCACAACATATTCAGTATGAAAGCCTGTCTGGAGCATTCCTCTCATGGGCAATGTGACCTGATTTTGCTACATGATTCACTCTCACAACCACAACGTACAATGTCCCTCAAATTTCCAATATATTTTTTGCAGCTCTCCTCTTTGAGGAGATTACTATATGCTGGTTCCCATAGCATTTACAAGTTGGGGATGTGTGTGGTTTATTTTAAGGTCTCTTAAGTGTTTGAAAGCTGGCTAGGATGCATGATCTCTCATCGTCATATTTTGTTGATTATACAAAACCGCCTTGAAGGTTTAAACAAACAAACAAACAAACAAAAATATTCAACACCTCTTCAGGTTTTGAATTCTGGTGAGAACTGTAAAGGTTCTGGAGGACACAGTATAGTGTTCCCTCACTGTAAAAACTGGTTCAATAGTCATTCCTAATTCAGCTATAACGCTGATGGTTGGGTAAGTACAGATGATGGAGCCTTGCAAGGGCAATTAAGCAGGAATGTGCATTAAGTGGTCTGTACAGCGCTGCTGAAAACCTTAGCTTGGAAGCACTCAAGCAGGTTTTCTGTCAGTAAGGTTTAAGAGCATTAAAAGACGTTTGTTTAAATCAGGCTTCTATCAACGTGCAGAAATTGCATTTTCAAGTCTTAAATTAGTTGTACCTCTTCGTGCTAAATTCTTCAGCAGGACAACATCATAGCCCAGAAATTTGGGTGCCAGCAGCCATTGACAGGTACCTTTGTGTGTTGGTGGCGTTATTGCAAAGGCCTCAGGCATGACTTGTGAAAATCGATGGTGTGATGTTTTCGGAACACTGTTCACTTGCACAATCACAGGGGCGGGAAATCCCTCTGTTTGCAGTAGTGATTCAGCTGAGACGTGCCTTTCCGCTCATGTAGTGCAAACCTCAGTATACAGCCCCGTTTGGGTGCAGGATGCCAGTGTTCCGCTTTGAGCGGTATCAAATGCAACTTGTGCAATGGATGTTTAAATTCATTTGTAAACACGAGCTTTACTTCAGTGATTATTGCCTGTCGTCTTAGCACTTTGTTGTTCGGGATTGCCTTTCCAGAAAAGACTTTAGCAATCCCACTTTTTCTAACTGAATTACTAACATGGAAATGTTTTCAATTCTGTTAAAATGTTTTCCCTTGTGATTATATGTAGTTGCAAAAGGGAGTGTTACAGCTTCATGAAAACATGGCTGTTTGCCTGTTTCAGATGTGTACAGTAAAACCTCTGTTATGTTGATGACTCGGAAGAGAAAGTTTTGCGACATAAAAACGTTTGACTTTATTGCTTACATTCCTAGGTTTGAGTTAAACAACTAACTTCTACTTTTATTTGGCGTTGTATCTGCTTACAACAAAGGAAGAAACCACAAGTTTTACGTGTTTTGTCTTTTGTTCGCTGTTTAATGACATTTCAGCTAAGTGATCTGTGCAGTGAAGCCAGTGATTCAGTAATGTGCTGTTAGGTCACAGGAAACTGTGCCTGTGGCAATCTGTCACTTGGCACTACTGTTTCCAGAGTGAGCCAGAGTCTGAAGAATTTGTTACGTGTTGTACTTGTAAGCTCTTGTCAAAGTATCTTCCCTCAGTAAAATCAGATACTAGCTAGGCTGCAGTAATTGAACTGTTTCTCAAGATTTCTAATCTAAATGGACTATTTAAGCTATCTTGGCATTTGACTTTGCAAAATGGCTTGTCCTACTCATTTTTTGTTAAATGTTTGACTTCCTGACATCTTCATTTTCAGAGGCTGCAATTTGGGTTTGATCTCTGCCCAAGACAGCTGTTTAAATGAAGGGCCTTAAATTATTGAAATTGCAGGAGGAAAGCATTTTATATTCTCTTTAGGCACGTGTTCAACTGGACTTGTATCAGCATTTAAATGGAATCATCTTGACACAAATGAGGCAACCTTCTCAAGCGTGTGCAATTCATTGCTGGCAGAAATAGCCATGGTACATTTGGGGGGGCTTGGGTTTTTTTTTTTGTAGGTGCTAGAATTAACAATAGTCTCCTATCATACTGATATGTTGATCCATGTTCCCTGTTCAGCTTCTCTGATCTTTGGCAAAGATTTTTTTTTTTTTTTCTTTTTTCTTTTTTCTTTTTTTTTTTTTTTTTTTCATTTCAGAAGGGCTTGCTTGTGTTTGTTACCTCATTCTCATGAACTCATTTTTCTGAACTATAAGCAGTCTTTGATGTGAGGTAACTGCTCTAAAATCCAACTGCCTAGTTGGCTATAGCTGAGCTGAATAATCTTGGTGTAGGAAATAGATGATGATAGATGTCAGGTCTTACAGACATTTGCCTCTAAGAGTGGGTTTACCCCACATTTTAAACATTTCCATCGTAGATTGTTTCATGGGGCATGCATAGCTAGCCCACTTGACCTGGCTCTTACATGGGACTCTTAGCAAACTCACAATCACCTAATAAGCTTTCTGAAGGCTCAAAATAGTCCTTCTGTATCAAGTCTGATTAGAAACTAAAACTTCCTTTTTAAAGAGAAACAGGTCCGGAATTTAAGATACTCAGGTTTTAACCCTTACTCTGTCATTCTTCCATATTGTAGCAGGTGCCCAGACTTGCAGACTGTTTGCTGCTTGGCATTTGGTGTTTTCACCCCAAATCCCCCTTGGAACAGGAGAGCTTTCTATCACCAAGTTTAACGGTGATGTATTCCTGTGAGAAGCTTCTGCTTTGGACAAATTGGTGTTGCCATGCCGAAGAAGGAGCTCCTGAAAGACTATATTTAATTCCGGCTAGTCTGGGAACGGGTGAGTGCAGGGTTAGCAGACGCCCTTGTCAGGAAGCATATATTAACTTGATGTAATCGGGAATGAGTTGTATGTGTAGGTATGGGAGAGGGAAGCAGCCATAATTGTTCCTCCATGTCGGGCATTATTTGGTGCTTTGAATCAATTCGAGACAACTCTCTTGGGGCCAACGTATAGGCAATATAGCTGCCAGCTTCTCCTCCGAAGCCCTGGTAAGCTCGTTTTGCTAGTGCTTGGGGAGGAGTCGTGATATGTGAGGTGGCAGCAATTTGGAGGCACTTGAGTCCCATGAACCCTCCTGTGAGCAAGAAGAACGCGGGCTCCTCGAACACTTTATGCCGGTGCTTTTTCTGCCCCCCTACCCCCGCGGCAAAGCTGCCTGCTCACGACACTTTATCCTCGAAGCTGCAAAACTCCACTCTGCGTCTGCTGTGCTGAGACCCGCGGCCAGTTTCAAAGGCTGCAATCTATTTGTAAGTTCCTGTTAGCTACAGGCTGAGCTGCTAAGACTTAACTGCAGGCCTGGAAATTCAAGTATGCAAGTAAGAGAGAGGACCCTGGAGGATTTCCTATGCCAGTGGTTGTTGCCCAAGCAGGGAAGCTATTCCAGATGGTTGTATCCTGCACAGCTCTACTGACATCTGAACATCTTGTGGGAGTCCAGGCTGATGCTGCTACGAGGTCAGTGTCTCAGCTCTGTCTTGGGAAGGAGGTGGGCAGAAAGGAGACTTGAAGATGATCAGACTCTCTTCCCTCAAAAATTCATCATGAAGGGGGGTTCTTCCTGACCAGCACCAGGGTAAATGCAGTCGGCATCAGCTAGGGGTGAGCGTTCATCTTCCAAACTGGCGTCGGGAGCGGCAGCAGGGTTCTCGACATCCAAAATCTCCGTGTGCTTTATGATTTGCCTAATGCCCTGTTGTGAAACCAAGATGGAGCCAGGAGGAATGAGAAGCAAACCAGAAATCCCGCTTCCAACTGCAGCTGAAGCGCTGCCTTCCTCATCCTCTCCTGCTTGCGTGCCTGGGCAGCAAGCGCGCTCCTTGCTTTCCTTCCTCTGTTGGGTTTTGTATCCTGGTAACATCACTCATGCAAAGGTGCAGAAAACTCCCTGCGGTCCTTTGAGCTGCTGTGAGGGCTGTCTGGAAAGCATGAACAAAACTCACCCCCAGGTACTGTTCTTCTCTTCAGAAAAATCTTATGTGCAGCTGTTTCCTAAAGTACATGTGTTCTTGATAGTGTTGTTTGTCTGACCTCTTTATCACTGGTTTCTGTGAGATTTCAAGTTGTTTCTACTTAACCTAACTTGATACAAAAGGAAAGTATTGATATAAAGCACTGGACTTGCATTGGTGTTTGTTTTACAAATGGGTAACTAAGATTTAAAAGGTGATCTGATTGTTTGCTGTGTGAATTAAATGTGCCACGTTTCCACTGAGGCAATTTTTGCTTGTATGTAAAAATAAAGGAATACATTCTATATTCCTGGCTAAGATGGTATGAGAACTAGAAAGGCCATACCTTTCGTGGTTACTGCGTGCTGCTTCTGTAAACAGTCTTTTATTTCTTTCCTTCTAGAGAAATGGTGATGTAGCTACTTTGGATTCAACAAAGTCCTTCTCTGGAGAAAGAGGTAACGAATAAAATGCAGAGCTTAACATTTTTATTGTTAAAGTATAAATCAGTTGAAACTATCTATGTAATGTAAAATACAACCAGTATTTATGGTCTGTTAAGACTGATTTCCCTGTCCCCCTCCCCCCTTCTGTGTAGTGAAACATCCAGACCATAAAATTCATAAACTTAAGCTGTTCTTTGCTGGCCTGGAGTTGGCAGTCTTACGGTATAGTAGCATGATAGGTAATCCTTGTCTGTCACAGAAAGGCTCATAATGAACTTGCTATAGGTTTTCTATATGTTTTAATAGCCAAACTTCAGCAAATGTTGTCCTTATTAAGAAGGAGAAGGTGGGATCAAACAATCAATCACAAACCTGTAGACTGTGTTGCAACAACATTTCATCACTGCCGTTACTTTATACTCCTGTCTATTTGCAACTGTTGTGTTTTCTGGTCAAAGGTGTTGCCTTGTAGACAGAGACATGCTGTAATTCACCACTTTTCTTTCAAGCTGAAATGTTCTGCGTTTGATTCCTGCTCAAGCATGACGGAGAGGGTGGTTACTGCAGCTGGGATCCCTTTGCTGTTGAGCAAAGGCTGTGCCTTCACTTGCCTTTGCACAACACAACAACTAAGTAAATATGAAGCACAGCTAAGACAAATTCTAACTTTTTGATCAAAGCTCTTTAAGTTCAGAAATGCCAAAATCCAATTATACGTGCAGGGTTGTCTTAAGTGACGGGTTACATGTTTCTCAGATGATCACGTTAATTTTTTTTCTGTTGGTCTGGAAATAGGAAGTAATGCGAGCAAATACAACGTTGGTTTAGAGACAAAGCACTGGTGCTGCAGAGAGCTGAGATGAGGGCAGCTGGTCGGCGTTGCTTTTACGTGCGCTGCTGTTGTGTTGCAATGACTGTGGGTTTGGTCTTTAGCTTCCGGATTTGGTTTGATTTACAAACGTGACTTTCTGAAAGTTGGAGTCCCTGGGAGGCTGCTGCCCTTTGTACCCTGGAGATGTCTTTGGGGAGGGAAAGGGCTGCTCTTTGGCTGTTTCTCACCATTTTGAGCTGATAATTCAGCCTCGTTCTGTGGGAGTGTTCAAGTCCTGGTTGGGGCAGAAAGCCCGAAGTGCTGTGAAATTAAATTTTACCTCTTGAGTTTTGCTGGGGGCTCTGGGAGGGCACCTTTCCCAGCCTTATACCGGCCTGCCCCGTGTTTTGGCTGCTCTCGCCATGAAAACGGCACTGCTGTCCCACGGGGTCGGGCAGGGGCTTGGCCTCCTCCACCCTTCTGCATCCAAGTGCGTTGGGTGAGCTCCGACGGAGACGCGGCGTTTGCGCTGTTCGGTCCCACTGCTCCGTCACGGCAGCACGGTCTCTTCCACACCGCAAGCAGCGGAATTCCCTATGAGGAGGTGTTTAACATCGGAGTTCGCCTTTTAATCCCCAACTATCAACCCCTAAACCCCATCAGCCCCCCGCCAGTGCAAAGCTCCCAAAACATCACCCTCGCCGCTCCGTGCCGTTCCCTTCCGAAACACCCCCAAAATGCCACTCAGCCCCTCTGGACCCTTCCCCAGCCCTTCACCTCTCGCTCTTGCCTCCCAGCAGACGGCTGCCAGCCACGCAGCGCCCGCGCGGGCTGCACGCGGAGGCACGTCTGCGTCTCTGCCGCGGCACTGCTCGTCCTCGCTGCCGCCGTGGGTTTGGCGGTGGCACTGGGACTCCTGCTACGCCCGCCAGGTCGGTATCCCGAGAGTTGTTCTTTTTTTTGGCAAGGGAGGCAGAAAATTATGTTGCGTGAGAAGAGCCTTCGTATCAATCGCCGTGCGTGAAGTGGCGCTTCCCGGTGCGGACCGGGAGGAAGGAAAGGGAGCAGCAGGATGGTGCAGGGCTGTGCCAGCCTGTTCCTCGGCTCTGTTGTCCTGCTCCATCGGGCTGTGGTAACTCTGGGTGGCACAGTCGTGCTTCAGAGTACTGGTATAGTTATCAGACCCTGCCATGAACCTACCAGAGATTAATCCTGGCCCTTGGTTACCTCCAGAACAACAAATGAATTTTGGAAATCCCCCTTTCTTCCTCTTGATCTGTTCCTCATACTGTGAAAACGTTGGAAAATAAAGTATTTCTTGCTTCAGTGAACCGCTTCTGTGCAGCCTCCAATAACCGGACAGGCTTTTTGTGCGACAACAGAGCGACCTGCATCCCGGCCAGCCAGGTCTGTGACAGAGTCAGCAACTGCAGGAGCGGAGAGGATGAGCAGGAGAAACTCTGCGGTGAGTGGTTTTGTTGTGACCGTCCTCCCCGTGCTGGTCTTCCTGTTGTGAGACAGAGCAGCCGGTGTCCCTCTAATCCTGCTCTGCACTTCTGGCCGCTTATGTGAGCAGATAAGCCTGGTAGATCCTTTGTAGGGCAGATGCTGAGAGATGGCACTGCCCAAAACCCAGCGGGAGAGCCAGGAATCAAAGACTCCAAGCTCCTCTAATCTTTCTAGTGTTTTTTTTTGTTTTTTTTTTTTTAAACCACGGTGCAGTTTTCCTCCATTGGTTAACCTGTATGCCTATGTGGTTAATTTATTATCCAGTTACCCTGGAAAAAACCTCACTAATGCAAAAGCATGCAGCACCCGAACTCTGATTCCGGCTCAGCCATGAGCATCCCTTTCCCTCTCCAACCACAGCTTCCCCATCTGCAGCATCGTTCATGCCCTGACACCACACGGGGAAGGACCAACCAACCCCCCATGACAGCAGCCTTTGGTAGCTGCTATCCCCGTTTTAGCCGATGCGTTTGTGCCCGGCGGAGTCGAGCACGTGTCCTGTGTGTCCTCGCTTGCAGGTGACTTGCCCCACAGCCTTCCAGGATACCTGGTTTTCCGCTGCAGTAACCCCGCATACTGGGTCTATGCCGATCAGAGGTGTAACGGGATGAACGACTGCGGAGACTGCTCGGACGAGATGGGGAGCTGTAAGTCTCTCTTCTGGCTGCTGTTGGGCAAAAGGTCTTTTGTCCTGATGGATTGAAATAGGTTGTACAGGTGAGGTGCTCACTGATGCTGCTGGAAGTGCCTGGAGGCTGACATCCACTGCTGAAACACAAAATAGCTGGGGTAGGACGTGCGTATGAACCGTGCGGGCTCCATCCCGTCAGCTGCCAAGGGCTCTGTGTCAAAGCCTGGTGGCAACCGAGAGGGGAAAGGCTCCGTGCTTTTTTCCCAGCCCCAAAAGTCACTCCTCCTTTGTGGTTTGCTGAGTGTGGAGCAGTTTCATCGTGATGTGTAGCTGTAGGCAGCGGCGATCGTCCAAACTGGCCTTTGGTTGTTGGTCAGGAGATGGGTAAGTCTCTGAGCCAGGGGGACTGCGCATGCCTCGGCAGCTTCAAAGCCATCTAGATCCTTCTCTCGCTAAAATGAGCAGCAGGTTTGTTCCGAAGTCATCCCCCTGGTTTTGAGCCTCAGGCGAGACTTGCCTGTATCAGCAGCTTTCTCTAGAGTAGCTTGCTAGAAAAAAATAATAAATTGCAGCTAGGTGTTCCTCCCAGGATGGCATATCTGCCATGAAGATCATCGCAATGTCACGCTCCGTGGTTGTCTCCCACAAGTAGCACCAAGCGAGTGTCCTCTTTGGTGGGTTCACAGACGCAGGGTCATCACCAGTGGCTTTTCAGTAGCTGCCGGGGGTGAAAGGGTAGCTACCCACGTAAGAATGGAGGGAAGGGGTCAGTGCAGCAGAAGCATTTCTGTTCCCTGTTTTCCATCCCTCCCAGTGGCCGCCTGCCCCCTGTGCGGGTCGGAGTGGTGGAGCTGCAGCCCTGTGCTCTACGAGTACTGCTCCTGCATCCCCAGGAGGCTGTGCCGGGACGGCGTCCAGCACTGCCTCAGCTGGTCCGATGAGTATATCTGCAGACCGTGAAGTCTTGGCACCTGGCAGCGCTGGAGACAGCAGGGTGCTTCCTGCATCGTCACCTTGAAGCCTTGGTGTCCTCCTCCTCTGCCACCCCCTTGGGAAGCTCCAAGCCAAGCAAATCCTCAGCAGCAGCGCGCCGTCCGCCCCGCAGCGACGCTGAACGGGGGCGAAATGCGTATGGCAGCCCATGCTGCAGGCTAGACGCTGGCCGTGGGACACCTTCAAGGGTTCTCCTGTCCCGTGAGGGTGAGCCCTTTCCACGTGGGCAGAGCACCGTCTTGCAGCATTGATTCGGTGGGTTGCATGCAGGCTGCTGGAAACTGTTTACCAGCTGCTGCCAGCACAGATACCGTGTCTGGGCAACCCTGGGCGAGGGGTTTCTCCTGTACGGACGTGCTGGTGCCTTTGTAGGCAGCCAGATGAAGGTATATCAAGGACTACCCTAAAGAGCAGGAGCTGAGTGAGGTGAGCCTTTCTAGCCCTTGGGTTAGCATTTCCCTCTGACACGTCTTCACGCTCCTGATCCTTGCGGGCAGGAGGAGAAGCTTGTGTTTGTCTTCAGAGCACGTCTGCAGATGGTTTCGGGAGCAGCTTTGAAGGCTCTGCGTCGCTGCTCCCAGGATGCTTCCTTGGGGACGCTGTGCTGAGGATCACACCGTGGGGAGCTGCCGCACAAGCCGCCTCCTGCGCTCTTCTCAAACCATGAAGGCCAGTGCGGAGAGCGTAATGGCAAGGAAAACTGAAGTGGAGAGCTGTCAGGGTTTGTGGGGATAAATCACCGTGCCCCTGTGACCGTCTAGCTGTCCCTGCAAGCCAGGGCAAGGAACAAGCATGTATATAAAACGTACTTCTCTCAAGGCTGTGCAGTTTTGGAGCAGCAGTTTAACAGGTTGAGAGCAGCCGTGGGGCTGGGATGCGTTTGCACTGAAGTTGGCAAAGAAAGGAGAAATAAAAGTCGCAGCCTCGGACCAGAGCAGAGAGCAGCAGAAAACCGAGTGCCGCTCCCAGGGCGGTGTGGGATGACATGGGATCTGTTCGTTGCTTGTTTCGTTCCTCTGCCAGCAAAGCAGGATCAGGCAGCCAAACCTTCAAAGCAGTTTTCAGGGTATAGATATGGATGTGCCACTGAAATTTAGGAAAGATATGGTCTTTCTCCTTTGAAAATCTCATCGGTGTCTAAAACATTGTCTCTGAGAAAAACCCACATTTACAGTGAGTGCACTTACTTTTCTAGGCCCAAAATAAACATCAGGCAATCTTCCCACCACCATCCTGGGTCATAGGTCTTTAAAAATAAAACCCCATTCACTCATTTCCTCTCTGTCCTGTGGCCTGCAAGTCTGCATGTCACCATGACTTGTATCAACGGTCAATGTTTCTTCTAATAGGTCACTAGGATACAGCTGTAGATCTCAGATCTTTTAAAAATAGCTTTACAGTATTCTGACTCATATTTCACCTGGAATGAGATGGCCAAACTCTGCACAATGGAACCGGTACTACAGGAAACTTTTATAAGCCACATTTAATAACCTGTCCTTCTCCACGCCTGGCTGGGATGGATGGCTTGCTTTTTCTGTGCCTCTAAAACTTTACTGCAGTGCATTCAGTGCTGCAGCTCGGAAGAGAGGTTAGGAGTTTTCTAGGTAAACATTTCTCACTTGCAAGCTTCCAGCCTCAATCAAAGCCTGAAATGGAGATGTGTGTTTTTACTGGAGAGTCACAGACATCTAACACTTCAGCAAGGCTGAGCTGGGGTTGGCAGATAAAGCCTGGCTTATTGTAGTTGCTGTTGTTCCTCTTGTTTACCCCAAAGTATGTTCTGGGGCAACCAATGAGGAAGTCTTGCAGCACTTCTTAAAGGAGCTCAAGGAGGGGTGATTCAGAGGCAGCGCTACCGGGTCAGCCTCTCCTTCCTGGGGGAGAAGAGCTGCTTTCCGATTCAGATTTGGTTCAGCCTGTTCCTTGGCTTTGAAGTGGGAGGATGCGCAACAAGCGCTCTGCATTGGAGGGGGCGGGTGGGCCACGACTGCTGCACGTGTCTATGGGGCACCGGTCAAAGAAAGGTGGGAGAGGATGGGAAGAAGAATCTCATCCCTCATGATGGGAACTGTATGTAGGTAACAACAACTGTAGCTGGTAAGGAGTGAACTAATCAGCTGTTAAAAAAAAAAAAATAATCAAAACCCACAGAAATCCTCATGCTCAGCATAGGGCCCATCCCATAGGATTGGTAAAAAAAAAAAATAATCTGCTCTGTATCAAAGATATTGGGACAGCCATGACTTTCTGGAGCCTCCGATGTTTGCTGCGGCTGGGAGGAGGATGCTGGTTAGGCTGACCCATATGGCAACTGCTGTGTTCTCCCAGTCCAATATTTGCTGATGGTTGTCACAGCTAACCTCTACCAAGTTTTAAGATGCTCCCCAGGGTGAAGAGGAAAGGGTCGGGGCACGCAATGTGTGAGCATGGAGAGTCAGATGTATGTGCTTGCTGTGTGGAAGGCTGCTTCTGCACCGCAGCGGAGGTCAAGTGGTGGCTTGCCTTGGCTGGATGGGGACGGTGTTGGGATCTGGGAATTCTTACTTTATTGTGAGACATGATAAAGAAGGCGAATTCCTGGCTTCGGGCAGGAAAGATTATTGTGCCACCTTCTCTTTCCTTCAGCAGGAAGGTGAGGAAACTGAGGCAGGCTTAGAGCGCATGGAGGATATCCCTGGCTGCAAAGAGGAAACCGAACGCAGTCTTCCTCTCCCTTTCTGCCAGCTCTCAGCTTTGTAATTGAGCTGAACCACAAAGCGATGGGGTCAGGAATGTGATCTCTGCATTTAATATAGCCAGCAGGGGTTCACTGGTGTCAGAGATGCTGACCCACCCCGTACCTGCAGGGTAGAGCCCCAGCTTTGCTCTCTGGCTGATGTCCCTGTTAGCAGTTCCCAGCCAGCGCTCCTGGGAGGCCAGAGCTGTGATTAATGGCCTCAGGTTAGGAGAGAGGAACCGGGGACTCATCCTGCTCTGGATCTACACCTGTGAAGAGACAAGCCAAGAGAGACACGGGAAGCAGCGGTCCACGGGCAGCAAGACTCAGAAGCCAGCCTGGAAACTGCCAGCCCTGGAGTGGGCAGTTTAAGCAGGCACTTGGCTGAGCCTATCTATTTCAGGGTGAGTCTCCTCCTGTGGTTTTCTTTTACTGCCTCGTTCCTGGTCAGCAGAAGGCTGTGTGCCTTACAGAGAGCAATAAACAGAGACTAGTGGGTTGAGGACATAGTGGTAAGTGTGTCTAAGTCTTAGGATAAAATTTACACAGTGGTGTGTTTAAAAGAGGAAGTCTGCTGGTCAGCAAGAAACCTAAGAAAAGGAATAATTGTACCAGGCATGGAGAGCGTAAGAAACACAGTGCTCTGAGACACCTCTTGTGAAAAGGAAAGATGTACTGTATTATTTTACCAACAAGCCTGTGACCTGGGCAGACTGTTCATGTCAAATCACAATGTGCCTATTTTCCGGCTCAAGGCATCAGCTCCCAGCTGCTTTACTGATGTGAAATGGAGTATACGATTCTCCGAGACGTGCATCTCTCCGTGGTCAGATTAGCAGATCTCCACAGTGGTGGAAGGACTAGCAAAAGAAATCCGTGGTGAACCAGAAGCCAGCTGCAGGAGGAGGATTATACTTGAGCACCAGAGTCATCTTCCTCCCTGTTAGAGACGCTGTTTTGCTAAGTCACTATTTGTGCCATTATTTGTCTCAGCAGAGGGCTGATGTAGTCATCAGTGGAAGCTATTAATAGCCTTGAGTTTCTGGGGAAAAAATGTAGGGCTTGAATGCAAGTATGCTTGTTTTGTTTGTGTATAGTCCTTTTTTGAGGAAAATTCAGCAATAAAAGAACAAAGAGAGAGAGGGGGTTAGCTCTTTATGCATTTTTGAGGTGAAGCTCCTTTTCTTGGCCTCTTCATGATTTCCAAGGATGCGTTGCTTTTCATGTTGCTGAACCATGGTAAACAACAGTGTAAAGGGAAGATATCCTCTAAATAAGCACTAATAGAGGAAACCTGTAGTAAATTCTTGGCCTAAGAGCACAATGATGGTCACAGTGCCCAACTCATGGGCACTGTGTACCTCAGCCAATTTTGATAGAAACACTCAGGGCAGGAATTCAATGATAAACACACCTGCAGCATTACAGCTGTGCTCCTGGCTTCAGACAGACCACACAGAATGAGTCTGAGTGTCTAGGTTTTTTACAGCAAATATGTGTCATTTGAATTATAAACTTCCTTGAATGTTTTTAGATGGGGAAGTACTCTTAGTATATTGCAGGCATGCACACACACCAAGAATGGGTTTTAAACCACAGAATGCTCTCAAATGCAGCCTATTTGCTTATAAGGGAGAATATATTACAACTGCAGAGTCTAATCTCTACAGTAACCCAGTTTCAGCTTTCATTTCCTGGGCTAAAATGAGAGAGATATGGGACTTCTGTTCTACTTTGGATTTCTGCAGTAACTGTTACCGAGGGGTTACTGTCTCTCTGCCTCCCTCCCCTGGGGCCCGTGCTTAGCCTCTTTGCTTCCTCCCTTTGTCAGAGCTCTATCAGCACAGCCTGGTGCTTACAGGCTGAGGTTTATGTTCTACCAGCACCGTTAAAGTCCCAGGGCACTTCACTAGCACAGTGCAACTTCATTTCAGATGAGCTGCAGCGATTAGTCTTCCGCCCCTCAGGAGGCAAGAGAAGAGCGATAGGACCAGCTATTTTTGTGAATGATAGCTACGTCAGAAGAAATAGTTAAGGATGACAACAAAAACTTTATTTGAAAAAATTATTATGTATTGAAAATATACAGTAGTATCATCAACGTCCTCCTTGACTCTATCCCTCCCCAAGCGTAGGTTAACCCACAAGCATATCACAGCAACCACATTTAACAATACTGGTCTCCTTTGTTACTCCCTCTCAGTATGTCTAAATTCTGTCATCAGCAAGAAAACAACAAACAAAAGAC